CTCATTTTGCTGCGGAGGGAAAAACGGTCTAAGGCCCGGAAGTAGGGTGACCAGCTGTTCCAGTGCGCCAGGGACTGAGACATTTCCAGCACGTGGGCCTTTCAGTTTTAAGACAGAGCAAATTGCTCCCTTTATGAGGGGCTGTGATGAGTAAGCCAGCACAAGCTGAGAAAGCAAGGAAGAGGTGGGATTCTGTGCACAAGAAAGATGGGAAGCACCAGAATGGGGAGGGAGCACAGGCCTGGAGAAAGCAATTTTTAAAAGAAGAAAAATAGATACAGCCAATAAATATATGAAAAAGAAGTTCAGACTTACCGATAATAACAAAATATAAACTAAAGCAATTTTCACCTGTTTCTCAAGGATTTAAAACCATAGGAACACCCCAGGAAACCAAACACTTTCATTCACTGCTGGAAGGAATCTAAACTGTCTCAATCTTTCTGGTGGGGAAATTTGGTTTCAGGTTTTAAATTATTTAGACACAGGGCATAAGATTCATTTCTCAGAATTTCTTAGAATTTGACCTTAAGGAAATAATCAAAGATATGATCAAAGTTTTGGCAGTTAGGGAGGCTGAGGCAGGAGGATTGCTTGAGCCCAAGAGTTTGAGATCAGCCTGGGCAACATAGTGAGAACTGCCCCTTTTTTGTTGTTGTTGTTTTTAGATGGAGTCTTGGTCTGTTGCCCATGCTGGAGTGCAGTGGCATGATCTCAGCTCATGACAACCTCCGCCTCCCAGGTTCAAGTGATTCTTCTGACTCAGCCTCCTGAGCAGCTGGGACTTCAGGTCCATGTTACCACACCCTGCTGACTTTTGTATTTTTAGTAGAGATGCGGTTTCACCATGTTGGCCAGGCTGATCTCAAACTCTGACCTCAGGTGATCTGCCTGCCTCAGCCTCCCAAAGTGCTGGGATTACAGGTATGAGCCACCATGCCTGGCAAGGCTCCCTTTCTACAAAAAAAAAAAAAAAAAAAAAAAAATAGCCAAGCATAGTAGTGTACGCCTGTAGGCTCAGCTACTTGGAAGGCTGAGGTAGGAGGATCACTTGAGCCCAGGAGATCGAGGCTGCAGTGAGACATGATCAAGCCACTGCATCCTGGATGATGACAGAGTGAGACTCTGACTCACACAAAAAAAAAAAAAGTTTGGGTGTAAGGATTCTTATTTGTTTATTACCACTTCATAATAAAGTCAAGTTGGAGGACAAGCATAGCAGCTCATGCCTATACTTTTAGCACATTGAGAGGGCAAGGTAGGGGAATCATTGAGCCCAGGAGTTCAAGACCAGCCTAGGCAATATAGGGAGACCTCATCTCTACAAAGTATTTGAAATTAGCTGAGCATGTTGGTACGTGCCTGCAGTCCCAGCTACTCGGGAGGCTAAGGTGAGAGGAGGTCTTGAGCCCAGAAGGCTGAGGTCACAGTTAGCCAAGATTGCGCCACCATACTCCAGCCTGGGCAACAGAAGGAGACCCTGTCTCAAAACAAAATAAATTAAGTCCAATTGGTAGCAATCCAAAATTCTCCTCTTAGGAGGCTGAATGAACAAAACAAATTTCTTGCTGGTCTTCCTGGTGGTAAGCCTCCACCCAGTTTTTGAGCCAAGCAATTCAACTCGCCTTTCGTTCCGCCTTCCACTTCAGATTTATGCCCTAAGTCTATATTTTAGATTCCAGCAATTCTCTCCCACAGACGAACTTTGCTATTGGCTCTTAAACTATTTTTTCTAGCCATTCTCAGCTTGCCTCACTCACATGGTGCATGGGCCATTCTGCCCCTTGGTGTAGTTACTCATGTCAAAGCATTTTTGGTTGTAAATAACAAAACCAACTCAGGCTATCTCAAGGAGAATACTTTTTTTAAATGGTAGCAGCTATTGTAGGATGTAGGGGATTAAGTTAAGCCTTAAAGGAAGTTCAGCTAACATACCTCTGGACTGGCTGCTCCTCAGTAGACTGGCTTCTTTCTCATTTGACCCAATACCGAGTTTTAGACTCTAACTCCGGCCCTTACTGTATGCCCACAGGCAAGTTACATAACTTCTCTGCACCTCAGTGGCTTCATCTGTAATAAGGGGATATTACTAGCTTTTATCACATAGAACTTACTATGTGGCAAGCTGTAGTATAATAAAAAATATAACAGGCCAGATTCAGTGGCTCATGCCTGTCATCTCAACAATTTGGGAGGCCGAGGCAATCAGATTACCTGAGGTCAAGAGGTCAAGACCAGTCTGGCCAATATGATGAAACCCCATCTCTATTAAAAATACAAAAATTAGCCGGGTTTGGTGGTGCACACCTATAGTCCCAGGTACTTGGAGGCTGAGGCAGGAGAATTGCTTGAACCCAGGAGGTGGAGGTTACAGTGAGCTGAGATCGCCCCACTGCACTCCAGCCTGGGTGACAGAGTGAGACTCCATCTCAAAAAAACAAAACAAAAACACATATTTGGTTTTCATGCTCAGTTCCTGACACAGAACTCCAGGAACCCTTGGAATTCCCAGAGTGACTTTTTGATATTGATAAGGAGCCTCTTTTAACCACACCTGAGTTTATGCTCATGAGATGGCTGAGAACAGAGTCCCTAGAGAGCTTCAAGATGGGGACTGACCGCCAGAAAGACCATGATTAGAGGGAAGAGGGTGGGAAGTTTCAGCCTCACTTTCTCCACCACCTCCAACTCCTGGAGGGGAAGAAGGGCTGGAGATTGGGTCGGAAAATCTTTTGAACAAAGAAATCCAGAGTTCCAAGGTTGGTGAATGCAGGAGACAGAGGCTTCTGTACTCGGCACCCATTCAGATCTTGCCCTATGTAGCTCTTTATCTGGCTGTTCACTTGCGTCCTTTATAATAAACCAATAAATGTAAGTTGTCCTAGAAAATTACTGAACCTCTTTGGGGGTGGTGTGGGGATGCGTAAATTTGTAGTCATCTTGGCAGAAGTGGGGGTAGCTTGTTAATTGCAGTTGGCACTGGAAGTGGAGGGAGGCAATCTTGTGGGACTGATTGATCCCTTTAACTTGTGGGATCTGATGCTAAGTCCCGGTATTGTCAGAACTGAATTGAAGTGGATTGTTGGACACCCAGTTGATGATGGAGAGTTGACTGGTGTCAGAAAACCCTCCAGACAGGCACTATTTCAGCAGTAACTATTAGCTCAGTTAGTCCTTTTAAGAACCCTATGAGATACATGCTATTAGTGTGCATCTGTGTGTGTGTGTGTCTGTGCACATGTGAGTTCACTCACATCCTCTGCTTCTCCTCCTAACTTGGTTGTGCACGTGGCTCCTTAATAGGCAACCCAGTAGTAACTCCCACCCCCCAGATTAGAACCTGGCCTCTCCCTTTGCATCTCACTGGCCATCAGGCTCTGTCCTGCTACTGCTCCCTGTGGCAATCATCTACTCTCTCGCCATCACTCCCCCATTCATGAAAGACCTGAGCACCTGGCTCACTATCGCTCTGTCCATCACCAAGCTCAGCATCATTCCTGGTCCATGTCTATTAGATGACTCCTCCAACATTCTGCCTCTGGTTAATTGACCTTCTCACCACCAGTGATCTGTCCCTCCTCCCCTGCCTCACCCACCCACTCCCATCATCTAATGCTAGATCTTATCACCAGCAGTAACTGTGCCATGTCTAAAATCTCCATTTCAAGCAGCTTTCTCTGACCACTAACCTCATATCTGTTCAGCTTGCTTCCCTTGTACTCCCACCCTTACACTCATTCCCCCCAGAGACTTTCCTTTCACACACTGATCCCCCAGTCCTCTCACTCATTCATTCCTCCACACCATCACCTCCCTCACTTCTCAGCTTATAACCCACAGTCCAGCACAGTAAATATACTTACATATACCCTGGGCCCTTGTAGTGACATTAAAATATGTCTGCAAGTTCTCTGATGCTTGTACTCATCGGCTTGGCTGCCATAATGAAATGCTACAGAGTGGGTGGCTTTAGCATGGATTTTTTTTTTTTTCTCATAGTTCTGGAAGCTAGTAGTCTAAGACAAGATTCTGGCCAATTTGGTTTCTGGTGAGGACTCTTCCTGAATTGTAGATGGCTACTTCTTGCTGTGTCCTCACGTGGCCGTTCCTTAGTGTATCAGCACAGACAGAAAAAGAGCAAGCTATTTGATGTCCTTTCTTAAAAGGAAATGAACTCTATTGGATCAGAGACCTTTATTATCTTATTTAACGTTCATCTGTTTCTTACAGGCCCCATCTCTAAATACAGCCACGCTATAGGTTAGGCCTCCAACACAGGAATCTGTGGCAGGGGCAGATTCATTCAGCCCACAACAACACGACTCCCTCAAAAACGTGGATTCTAATTCCCCTCCCCTTGAATGTGGACTGGACTTAGTGACTTGCTCTTAACGAATATAATGCAGCAACAGTAACGCAGTGTCATTTCTGAGTATAGGTCAAAGAAGGACAGCTTCTGCTTAGGTCTCCCTCTGGGACTGCTAGCGCTGGAAGAAGCTGGTTGTCACGCTGTAAGGACACTCTGGCAGCCTGGAGAGGGCCACATAGAGAGGAACTGAGTTGTCTGCCAACCACCAGTACTGACTTGCCAGCCATGTGAGTGTGCCACCCTGGAAGCAGATCCTCCAGCCCCAGACAAGCTTTCAGATGACTGCAACCCAAAGTAACATATTGACTTGCAGCCTCATGAAAGACCCCAAGCCAGAACCGCCCAGCCTGAGCTGCTTCCAAATTCCAAACTGTGACCCACAATGAGATAACAAATGTTCATTGTTTGGGAGTAAGTGCGTTGGGGTCATGTGTTTCACAGCAATAGATAATTACAACCATCCTGACCTACTCTCGCCCAACCTATAGGTCTAGCAAAATCAATACTTGTCTGATCTAACTTTTAGCTAATTCACGCCTATACTCCAGGTGTTCAAGGTGGCTGGAGAAAAACATAGAGCTGCACTGAAAGGTCTCCCTTTAAATTCATCACCACTGACCTCGGAGGACCACACTGCTGCCATGTTGCTGCCCAGCAATCCTACACCATCTTCCCCAGGCAAGTCGCTCTCCTACTCCCTGTGACAGATGACTACATCGTGCCTCCTTTCTTTTCAGGCCTGCATGCAGCTCTCCTTGCTTCTCACTTTCAGCTGATGACATCATTTTTCCCCCACTGAGAAAAAAAAAGAAATCAGAAAAGAAAAAAATTACATCCTCCCACCACCAAAAATACCAGCCTCCAGAAGTTGTGCCCACGTGCCCCACCTTCCCTCCTCTCATGATGAATGAATCGTCCATGTGTCTGTCTGAGGCCAGCCCCTCCCCTTGCACACTGGATCCCTTCTCCTCTTGCTTATTAAAAAGCATCACTCCAGCAATTATCCGCTCTCTCATCTGCAGCATCAAATTTTCCATCTCAACTGGATCATTCCCATCAGCATACTGATGGGATATAATAACTCTCAGCTTTAAAAAATATCCTTGACCCTACATTCCCTCCAGTTACTTCACCATTTGCTAACCATTCAGAGCAAAAACAACTGTTTCTATTTCCTCACCTCCTAGTCTCTGTCACGGGCTCCAGTCAGGCTTTCATCCTTACCATGGCAGCGAAACTACATTTATCAAGGCCACTGATGACTTCTGTGTTGACAGATTCCATGGTCAATTCTCTGTTCTTATTTGACCCATCAGCAGCATTTTAAGTCATATGATCACTCCTTTCTTCTTGAAACACTTTCTTTAGTTGCTTCCAGGACACTGGGGTCTTCCAATCTTCCTCTGATTTCACTAGGTGATCTCTCTCTATTTGTCCTTTTCAAATTTGCTTTTTCACTTTTTGCAGCCTCTAAAATTGGAACACCCTAGACCTTGGTTCTTGAATAGCCTCTGTTCGCTTCCTTTTCCTTTCCTTATACTCCCTTCTCCTCTCCTCTGTACTCTTCCTCCTGGATGGTCTTGCCTGGTCCTAAAAGGCTTTAAACACCATCTATATGCTTCCATATGTAGATCTTCTGCATCCATTTGTAGACCTTCTATTTATGTCCCTAATCTAGAGTGTCTCCCTTCAGTCCAGGATGAATAAAGGCAAAATTTGTGTTCATTTTCCTCCCTTTTTGGCACATCTTTCCTCACCTCTCAGTGGTTTTCCTTTCTTCTGATATCCAGTTTATTCATACTCAAGGGTAATGGATGGGATTAAAACATTGTCTACTGCTTAGCACAGTGCCTTGCACAAAATGGAAATATTAATCAAATGTTACCAAATGACTCCTTTCAGGGAACAATATCTATATTTGGCCTAAAGGGAAAGTTATGCCTCTCTACTTGTGAAATTTCAGATATGGGCATATATGGTTTAATCCTAATCAGGCCTGGGATGGAAATGGGGGATCGGGTGTGGATTTTTGAGTGTGAAAGGCTTTTCCAGAATTGCTTAAACCATGCGGATCAGACTCAGCCTTGCTGTAGGGTGTGCTTGGTGTTTTCTCTATCTTTTTTGGCCTTGTTATGGCCAAGATGAAGTGGAATGCCTGGGTTGCTTGGCAAAGCCCCACCCTGAATTTTAGTGGTGGCTGCCTGGTGGTGGTAGTCCAGTGGTTAGACCATGGGAGTGACAGGCTGTGGATTCATTTTCCACTTAGCTTTTCACAGACAGACCCTGTTCTTTATCCACTGGATTTATCCCTTAACTTGGTCAAAAATTGGTGCATAGTCTAGTCTAAAGATTCAAAGTTAGACCTTGACATTTGACTGAATCATTTAAAAAAGTTTCAAAGGTCAGAACTTCCGTAAATAAGAGTACAATCCTTCCCCCATGCCCTCTCTAGTTTACCATGTTAAAGTGGTAGTCAATGAGGTGGCAAAGCTGTAGAAGTCCTGGGGCACTGAATTAGTCAAGGTCCTGTCACTCAAGGAAGTGAGGCGAGTTGGACAAAGGGGCAATTTACAGGGCCAAGGGAAGCAACAGTGGGCAGGGGAGCACCCAGGGACAGCAACAATAGGGAGTCACTACCGCCTGTAGGCTGAAGGTGTAGGTGGGGAGCACTGACCAGGTTCCAGGGAACAGCCATAGCTTTCGGACAGCTGTCTGTTTCCAGAGCCTTGGCCACCCATCAGTCCAGCAGGGTGGGAGAGGAGAGAATGAACATCCTGACTGCCTTCTCTTCATCCTTTCCATCTCTTGTCAATGCTTCCCATTGGCCAAACCCAACCAGGAATCAGATGGCAAGGGAGCCTATTGTTATAGACCACATAACTCAGCCTCTTGGACCTTGGAGCCGAATGGAAAAGGCTGGAGAGTGCAGCTGAAGAAGCCAACAGAGAATAACCCACAGGCTTGTTCAGAATTACAATGCCAGGGGCAAGAGCTATTAGAAGGCAATGTTCTCAATGTGGATATTTCATGGCTCACTGTTTTCACCAGCAAAAACAATGAAAGCTGATATTCCATGCTTTGGGATGGGGTATTAGAATAGCCTTCATGTATCTGAGACGGGAAGTCTGTTCCCTAAATGATGCTGATGTGATAGGGACAAGATTTACTGAAGTTTGGGTATTTTAAGGAACATTTCAGTTTGATAATCTGATATCTAGATCTTCTGGGTACAGTTTTTTTTTGTTGTTGTTGTTTTATGTTTGTTGTTGTTGTTTTGAGATGAAGTCTTGCTCTGTTGCCCAGGCTGGAGTGCAGTGGCGCAATCTTGGCTCACTGTAACCTCCACCTCCCAGGTTCAAGTGATTTTCCTGCCTCAGCCTCTCGAATAGCTGGGATTACAGCCATGTGCCACCATGCCTGGCAATTTTTTTTTTTTTTTTTTTTGAGACGGAATCTTGTTTTGTTACCAGGCTGGAATGCAGTGGCACAATCTTGGCTCACTGCAACCTCTGACTTTTGGGTTCAAGTGATTCTCCTGCCTCAGCCACCCAAGTAGCTGGGATTGTAGGTATGTGCCACCATGCCCAGCTAATTTTTGTATTTTTAGTAGAGGCGGAGTTTCACCATGTTGGCCAGGATAGTCTTGATCTCCTGACCTCGTGATCCACCTGCCTTGGCCTCCCAAAGTGCTGAGATTACAGGAGTGAACCATTGCACCCGGCCTAATTTTGGAATGTTTAGTAGCGATTTTGTTTCACCAGGCTGGCTCTAACTCCTGAACTCAAGTGATCCTCTTGCCTCGGCCTCCCGAAGTGCTGGGATTACAGGTGTGAGCCACCGCACCTGACCTGGGGTACAGAACTGGGAGGATCATGAGAAGAAAGACTGGGAGAAGAGGGAAGGGTCTGATACAAGAGGCAAAATCACCCTACATAATAAAGAGCTCAGAAAGAGGGGGATATTTGGGTGCCGAACAGAGCATAGGAGTTTTGGGCATGTCAAAAGCCCTTCAGTAGCTGACTGTGAGAGAATTAAGAAAAAGAGGCTTTAGAAAAACATTGCCAAGTGTTTTTTATCACTTCAAAATATATTTACTAAAATACTTGGAATTTCTTTCAGTTGCTGAATTATGTTCCTTTCTATGAGCCTCCAAGCAGAGTTTGGGCCATATGGGGGCCCCATTCTTTTTTTTTTTTTTTTTTTTTTTTTTTTGAGACAAAGTTTTGCTCTTGTTTCCCAGGCTAGAGTGCAATGGCGCGATCCCGGCTCACCGCAACCTCCGCCTCCTGGGTTCAGGCAATTCTCCTGCCTCAGCCTCCTGAGTAGCTGGGATTACAGGCACACGCCACCATGCCCAGCTAATTTTTTGTATTTTTAGTAGAGATGGGGTTTCACCATGTTGACCAGAATGGTCTCAATCTCTTGACCTTGTGATCCACCAGCCTCAGCCTGCCAAAGTGCTGGGATTACAGGCTTGAGCCACCGCGCCTGGCCTGGGGTCCCTATTCTTATTGGAGTCACAATAAAAGACCTTTTGGATGGTTCTGGCAGCCGAGGACTGGCCAGAAACCACTCCACACACCTCATCCTCTATCCTCCACATGGTAGCACAAAAGCCTGAAACCTTCTGAGGACTTAGCTTCCTTCCAAGGGGTTGTAACCTTACCCAAGGATTGCTTCAAAATGGAAGGGATTGTTTTACCTTTGCACAGAAGCCACAGAAGGTAAACAAGTTGTTAGTCACTCAATGAGTCATCTACAGAAGCAAGGAGACATAACCCAGGTCTCTGGACTCCCTGTGCGGCCTGCATTCTGCTCAGCTGGCTGGCTGCAAATTCTGTTTCCTTTCCTTTCTAGGAAATGAAAATTCTCCCTTCTCCTTCCTGAGAAGGCTCAGGCCTGCTTGGCTTAGGTTTCCACCAAGGGACTATGGGGCAAGACCAGATTCTGATCCTTTACAAAATCATTCCTTTGAGTTCTTAATTCCTTTCTTGAAAGCAGTTTCAAGTGTGCAGGGGCGGGAGACTAAGCCCTCGGACCAGGACCCGGGGGTTCTGAGCATGGGGGCACAACTATACCACGATCTGAATTTCCCAGCCATGCAGTCTACTGTGTCAGATGTGGGCTCTGATCCGGCTGGGATATTACTCAATCTAGGCTAATAAGATGTGGGGAGACATTGACTGAGGGGTTCTGGAAAGAAGCTTCTACTTTCTTCCATGATTACTAGTTTAAAAGCAGCTTGCTCTCTCTCCTGAGCGTGAACAAAGGTGTAGACAGCTTTGGTTGCTGCTGGCAACCACGTTGCAACCTAGAGGATTGAGAGTTTTTGGATGAAGTTGACATCATGGAAGACAGAGTGGAAAGATAAAAAGAAACAGCATAGAGCAGATGGATCAGATCTTGGATAAAACCCACCCCACCTCAAACTTCTTTTTAATTGTCAAGGACCAATACATTGATTGTTTAATCCAATTTGAGTTGTGCTTTCTGCTGCTGCAATAAAAACCATCCATTCTCCTGATATCTTATGGCAGCTCAGATTCTCCATGCTGCAGGCTCAGGAACAGGAAGGCCCAGGGTGGTCTGAGAAGATTCTGTCCTGAGGCAGGTAATGTGTTGCTCTTTCTTTGGCAGGTGGTGGGGAGGTCAGGCAAGTTCATCTCACAGTTTGGGGAGAAGGGTTGATAAGTTAGGTCGTCTGGCAAAGGCATGGCTGAAAGGATGCCTCATGTGCTTGAACATGATGCTCTGAGGGCTTAGAGGGCATGGGCTACCAGATCCATGGGCGGGGGCAGGTGTTCTTTGCCTGAGATTCCTGGATTCCTAGGGGTTCCATGGAAGGGTGTCAAGAAGTTCATGAAACCCTGCAATTGTATGAAGGATTTTGTATGTGTGCATTTTCACCAGGTTTTCAAAACGAAAGAACTGCCCCATTTTTAAACGGTATACGGCCCTCTAAACCCACCTGTCTCAGTTTCTCGTTGTCATCAGACAGGAGTGACTAGTCCTTTTTCTTCTTACTCTCCAGAAGGGATGAACATCTGAAAAATCATAGAGCGTGAACAAACCTATTAGATGAAAAAAGTTCTTTTTAAATTATCAGGGACTGTGCCAAGCTATGAGGAGAGGACCTCAGGGTGTCCTGAAGTGACAGAGTTCGTCTGAAAGTGAAGGCAGCTAGGAGCATAGATGAAGAAGAATGACAAAAGTCAGACGTGTCCTTTCTGTAGGAAATCCAGGTACATGGGTACACATGAACATGTATGCTGCATGCCATGTATGTATATGGAATAACAATGAACGTTTGCATTGTCTGATGGTTTCCAACAGGTATTTCCAAAACGTTGCCTCATCTGGTCCTCATACAGGCCTTGGGAGCTGGGTCTCACACTTTTGCCCCAGGTTCAAGGAATGAAGTGCCCAGGATCTCTCTCTAAATGGTGGTGCTGTAAATGAAATTTAGATATTCTGTTTCCTCACCTGATGCATTAACCCTATTATCAGTCTAAACCTGGCTGATCATCAGTATCACTTGGTTGCTTTTTTAAAATGCTGAGTCTTGGGCTCCACATCAGTTCCAGAAATTTGGATTCAGGATGTCTGGGGCAGGGCCTGGGTATTTGCCTTTCTGGAAGCATCCCAAGTGAACCTGAAAACCATTTAGGTTTTTTAGAATTTGGTCCTTGCAGGAGTTGCTGCATTAATACAGTGGACTCTTAAAAGATGGGCAGCTGGGTGTGGTGGCTCACACCTGTAATTCCAGCATTTTGGGAAGCCAAGGTGGGAGGATAGCTTGAGCGCAGGAGTTCAAGACCAGACAGGGCAACATAACAAGACCTCATCTCTACAGAAAATTAAAAAAAAAAAAAAATTAGCCAGGGTGGCACACACCTGTGGTCCCAACTACCTGGGAGGCTGAGGTGGAAGGATTGCTTGAGCCTGGGAGATTGAGGTTGCAGTGAGCAGAGACTGTACCACTATACTCCAGCCTGGGTGACAGAGCAAGACCCTGTCTAAAAAAAAAAAAAAAAAAAAAAAAATGGGAAATCGTTCCAGATCAACAGTAGCAAATCTCTAATGGTGGAATTTCAGGCTTTGAGGCAGACAAATGGATGCAGGATATATTTTGGGGAAGGGAGACATTTTATTATGATGTGTGGTGGCTGTGTATCTGCCACAGTGGCTCTCCACCACAGAACCTCCCACATGTATATTACCTGCTTGATATATACTATACACATATAACATCCGCAAAACTCTCAGAATGAGGAGCAAACACATCTAATGAGCGTGTGGAAGTTTAGAGCATGCAACCTTTTTTAGGGAAAAAAATATGGAAGCATTTTCAGTGTCAAGTCTTACCACTAGGCAGGCTCTTCAAGCTGGAAGAAAGGCATCCGGAAATACGAGTTTGTCATGGAAACGCTGACGGGGCTTCAGCTGAGCGATGCTCACAGGTGCAACCCAGAATGGCACAGCCTCTTGTGGCTTATTTACATCCCAGCCTGCTGAATGAGCTCGCTTTTCTTGTTGCCTGGCCCCTGGGGGCTTCTTACCAGGAAGAACTGTGGCCGTGACTGTTTCTCCGTGGGGGTTTTCAGCAGGAAATACAGGGGGTCTTAGGATCAGTTTCACATCTGGGAGAAAGGCTTCTGGAGAGAGTGGAGAGATGAATGAGGTAAAGAAGGAAGAAAATTAGGGAAGGAAGGAAAACATATGGATTCTGAGTGCCAGGACCGACCCCAGGAGCACGCAGCCATCATCCTCATGTCTTCATCACTATAGGCTGTCACCCAGCGAGGTACCCGAGGTTATCACTGTGTTACTGAGAAGGAAACAGCTGGCAGCACCCAGAGGGGAGCTGACAACCACATCTCTGGGTAGACTAGGTGGTGCAAGGATTGGGCAGCTTCCCCTGAACCCACCACTTTTGCTGACCCCGAAAGCCCCAGAGCAGGGAACGCAGGCCTTCTTTTGATAAGCAGGGAGAACGCTAGAGAGGCCATTCCTCCTGAGAGAGGCTGCACACTGACTTCCATGGGTCCTGTCAGGGTAGATGACTGACCGTGACCCTGTGCTACAGGCAGGCTAAGCTCCAGGAGGGACACTGGGTCCTTGAAGATCTAGGTTCTCTGTTCTTCCCAGCTGGGCTCCAGGAGTCCCAGCAGGAGCAGAGGAGAGCATCAGTTGCTTTATGGAGCCAATAGGTGTGGCCTAAGAGGCTTGGGGAGGGAGCTGGGCATAAGAAAAGGTTGTTTCTGTCTGTGAGACATTTCCATTTGGTGGAGAAAGTGCGGTCCCTTAGGGGCTCTCAATCCAATCCAATAGGAGAGACAAGAGCTCTGCACACAAGGAGTCCAGGAAAGACGGAGGAAAGAAGGCACAGGCCAGAGATTCTAGGAGCTCACAGACTGCACGGGGAAAGACCTGTTTTTCCAATCCTGGCCACAGACCTCTGACCAACTATCATCTTGGGAACTGCCCTGGACTCTGGCAAGAGTTGGGAAGAGATTCAGAACCCCCAAGTCCTCTCCTACACACCTACAAGGCCCCCAGAGTACTCTTCTGCAGTGCCTTCTATCAGAGCCGCCTACTCCTGGGGGCTTGCACCTTCAGCCAGGACCAGCGAGTGGCCCTGCTAAGAGATGTTCTGATTAGGCTCAGGGCCACTCCCCAGCCCCCTCTGTCCTCAGCAACATGAGTCCCACCTTTTCCTCCTCACCAGGAGCCTTGGGAGCTTGGGAGATATACCACGGATGGCTCTGACATGAATTTTCGACTCGGTGCGCCAGGCGATCAGAGCTGACTCCTCTCCCTTTTCCCATGGAGGTGTTGATAGTAACAGCAGTGACGAGCTGCCAAGTTGGCAGGAGAACAGAGCGACTGTGCACTGCGGATGGAGGGGGGTGGGAAGCGGCAAGCCAGCAGAGGGCTGGGCCAGAACGACAGTTTGTTTATCCCGAAATTGAAAGGGTCCCTTTAGTCTCAGCCACCAGCATCTTGCAGGAAGGAGGGAGACTTCCTAGAAGGTGGAGGCTCTGCGGGGAGGTCCAGGGTTGGTAATGTGGGTGTTGCTAGTCGGGTGGGTGGAAGGGATCTTCTGGCCGGGCCCGAAGCCACCAGCCAGCCTGGCCCCAGAGGCAGGACAGATACCCACCTTTGTACCTGCTGTTGAGGTGGCTGTGGAGTTTCTAAACTGGAATGGACCTGGGACGGGGATCTGGAGTTCTGAAGCTGCTTCCTCATAAATATAGAGACATCAAAGGGCATTTAGGAGGGTACCCATGCTCTGTCAATCAAATAAATCTGGAACCTGGGGCAAGTATTTTAATCCCTTGAGCCTCAGAGATTAATAATATTTACTTCAAAGCTTTGTGTGGAGACTCAATAAAGCAGTGATGGCAAAAATTTGTCTCCTGTTTACTCCAAGGCAGACACTGTGCTAAGAGCTCTATGTATGTGAATGCATTTAATCTTCAAACTTTATCAGGTGAGTACTATGTATATTCCCATTTTATGAAGGAAGTAACTGAGCACAGAGGGGTTAAGTAGCTTACTCAATGTCACAGAGCTAATGAGTAGCCAGGTTGAGAATTTGAACCTAGTAGTGTGTTGCTTAGGCCTGTGTTCTCAGCCCCTGTACTAACTGCCTTCACAGTGCAGCTGAGCTCTGAGCAGGGTGCCTGGCACAGAGCAAACATTTAGTGAATGTTAGCTACCATCATGACTTCCCTGGAGCAGTTCCGGACAGGGGACCCAGGCTCCTGACATCTATACCAGGGACTCCCTGGGGCCCTAGGTTGTTCTCCTTCCATCTTTTGTTTGTACTATCTCGTTCATCCTAGGAGCTGGAGGAACTTCTCTTTTGGAGAGATCGCTGGGCCTTGCCTGCTTCTCTCATCCCCTCCTCCCGAAGGCAGAGCAGAGGAATTCTCGGCTTCTTCCAGATACCCTCAGCCTGCAAAGAAAACATAGTCTGCTGTGTCTGCTGCCAGCTCCTCGCTGGCGACAGCTACAACCCATTTGCTCAGCACCAGCCCCAGCCTGTGCTGTGGGTAGAGCCAGGAGCCTGGGGCAGGACCCCAGTGCCCTATGTGAGAGCCTGGGCCAGTTACTGCCTTGGGGGCCACTCAAAGGGAGAGGCGTGGCTCACATGTTTTCTTGAATGGCTGTAAGAGCAATGACTGAAGGTTGGTGAGCTGTGTGCATGGACTCTTTCTAGGGTAGGAAATCCATTGTATCAACATGTTTTCAATTTTGGGAGGTTCATTAACACAGCCATGCAAATTGGTAGCCAGCTTTACAAGCTCACTAAACTGCTACTGGCCACCCTTGCCTCTCCTGAGGTGCCAGGCAAAGAATCCTGTGCCACTTTCTGGGTGACCAGAGCTACCTTCTGTCAGCTGTGAGATAGCCAAACCACACCCAGGAGCCTGCATTACTGACTGCCCCGCGGTGTGGACACCTCAGAACAACATCGTTTTGTTTATGTAAGTTCGGAAGCATTGCGGGTGTGTTGGGTACAGAGTCACCCCACTGTTTCCATCGGGTAAGATAACTGATGACAGGAGAATCAGGTAGGGTGGGGAAGCTGGGGCTAAAGCTCTGCTATGAACTCAGAAGGAAATAGAATATTCTAAATATTACAGAACAGACATAGCAGGGATACAGTATCTTCTAGTTAGAAACTTTTAATTAAAAGAATGTTCATGCCACGGGGATCAGCTAGAACATGATGGTCAATAATTATAAACAGTTGAGCATGGTGATGTGCACCTGTGATTCCAACTACTAGGGAGTCTGAGGCAGGAGGATCACTTGAGGCCAGGAGTTTCAGGCTGCAGTATGCCATGATTGTGCCTGTGAATAGCCACTGCATGCCAGCCTGGGCAACATAGCAAGACTTCATCTCTAAATTTTTATTTTTATTTTTTTGAGATGGAGTCTCACCACTCTGTCACCCAGGCTGGAGTGCAGTGGCACAATCTCTGCTCACTGCAGCCTCTGCCTCCTGGATTCAAGCGATTCTTCTGCCTCAGCCTCCTGAGTCGCTGGGACTACAGGTGTGTGCTACCGCACCCGGCTAATTTTTGTGTTTTTTTAGTAGAGACAGGGTTTTGCCATATTAGCCACACTGGTCTCAAACTCCTGACCTCGTGATCTGCCCGCCTCAGCCTTCCAAAGTGCTGGGATTATAGCATGGTATGAGCCACCATGCCTGGCCTAATTTTTTTCTTAATTATGAACTAAGAGGACAGTCACGGCCCCACAATTCCCTTACCATGCTCAGTACACAAGCAGCATTGAAGGCTCCTTAGGCATGGGAGTACTCTCTGCCTGGGCCAGGGAGGTGAAGAGGAAACTGAGGCACCAAAGTCGAAGAGAGGTCCTGAGATGTTTCAGGGCACACCTAGAAGGTAGTTGCCCATCACAACACAGGGCTGGCGACCATCTTGGTCTTTGGGATCTAAAATATTCAACTTGGGTAGTAATTCCTGCCTGTAAACCCAGCACTCTGTGAGGCCAAGGTGGGAGAATCAGTTGAGCCCAGGAGTTCAAGACTGGTCTGGGCAACATAGCGAGACATCATCTCTACTAAAAAGGAAAAATAAAGTCAGCCAGGCATGGCGGCACGTGCCTGTAATCTTAGCTACTCAGGAAGCTGAAGCAGGAAGACCCCTTGAGCCCAGGAGTTTGAGACTGCAGTGAGCTATGATCATGCACCTGCATCCCAACTTGGGCAACAGAGTGAGACGCTGTCTCAAAAAAAAAAAAAAAAAAAAAAAAAAAAAAAAAAAAAAAAATTCAACTTGGTTTGTTGGAGATTTGCTTTTTCCAGTGTTGTAATAGAAGTCAGAAAGAGGAAAGAATGCCTTATAGTCAACTGATGGGCACATGTCTGCTCTGTAAAGTAAATTACAAGGGTCTTAGTTCACTGTGCCCAGAAATGCATTTACTCCATTGGACCCTGAGGGGCTCATTTACAATACATGACAAATCGTCTGGGGGGTGGGTGTAGCGGGAGACTCTCTTGAGGAGTGGAGAACAACTGTGTGTTTCCCGCTGCTGGTTCTGTTCGGTGTCAAGCAGCAGTCAGAAGAAAGGCATGAAACCAGGCAAGGTGAGGAGCAAAGAGCTGGAACTGAAAGCAGAGAGAATTTACCATCGATGAGAAAATTAAGATCAAGGCAAGAGCTACAGGGAGTGGACACCTGCCTGCCCGTGAGAGAACCCCATGGGACTGGGTGGGGGAAAGAGGGCACACTCCCCAGCGCTTGACCTTGGATGGGGCACACGGCTGGCCAGCACAGAGGCAGGGGGATGCCCTGGATGACCTGTGAGAGAGTTCTTTCCCCCAGAGGTCTTGGGAGGAAGCCAGAATGGGCATGCAGAAGTGGGTCGAGGTTCTATTTTCCTGAAGAAGCCCTGAGCTGGAGACAGGATGCATTGACTGTTTATTTATTTATGAGGCTATCGATTATAATGCAGCTTTTCCACAGGATCCTGAGGCAGCTCGAGCTGGAAGAAGAAACCTCCTACCAGTTCACTTTCTTTGCCCTGAAGATGTCGGGTGTTCA